TGGAGTTGATTCATTCTTGATCTTTCTGCTCTTTCCCTTTCATAGATACCATCAAACTATAACACGTTATCGGCACTTTGCTCTACATCCTCGGTGAACCAAAAGTTCTTCGGACGTGAATTCCAAAATAGTGGTTCTTTGCTTTGTCTTGGACCTTCGATGCCATTGTTGATAATGGTAATCCATCGATATTGACAGACCTGATGCGGTGGAGATCGCTAACCGGATATTGTCACTCGGATAGCGCATTAAGTTCCGCATCAGACGACTTTTTCCCGGCGGATAACGCATCAGCAAAAATCCTCGGATAGCGCATTAAGTTCCGCATCATCGCGATCTTCGTCGACAGGTCTGTCCGACTCCAGAATTCAACAATTCCCGGCGGCAAATCATCGCGATCTTCGTCGACAGCGCAGTCCACGGTGATCCAGCATCCGCCATCATAGTGAACGGAGCCGAATGATCCGTATGAGTCTCTGTTTTCACCGGAAAGGATCGAATCGGAGTACCAGGGCCTGTAGTGTTCTCGCAAGCGTCCAGAAAACGTAGGGCCTGTCGTGGTTTTTTGAGATCGCCAATGGAATTGTTCGAGAGGGTCTTGCAGAGATTCCATATGTTTGCTTGATCTGTTGCGCTGTGCGGGAGAAAACTTGAAAGAGGCATCTCGCTCACCTTCCTGCACGCGGAAAGTATCCATAGCTTCCGGCGAAGAGTAGTGGCGAGAGAGATAAAGGATGGAGCCCTACTTGCTTCTATTTCGTCCCCTATCAATCATCACTACAATAGCTGTAGAAGATTTTTAATGAGACACAGGAAGCCAAACGAGCCAGTTCAACCCTCTATAGGAGTTGCCGTCGGTTGTTTTCTTTGCGTTAATGGATGGCGTGTTCGCTGCCGACTTGTCTCTAGGACCAAAGCTATATCACATGGAGATTGCTCTAGGTCGAACTGGCCTGGAAAGATCTGCAATTTCTGGATGGATCGAACTGCATCAAGATCCATTTCTATGTCAAGTTTTCTTCTGTCGAGGAAGCCATAAAGACTCGATATGCTGCATGTGTACAATCTTCAATTCAGTGGCCTGTAAATGGAGGTCGCCTCTTGCTTGCAGATCTTAATTTGTTGATCCACAGGAAGTAATCTCACGTTTAGAGGGCTCTTCCAAGCCAACCACTCCTGTAGCGAGTGCCAGCCCAGCGAAATCAAGTCAAAGGTTGGAAATTCATGCTAGAGTTCCCGACCATACTCTAGCGAGGTTTGTCTTTGATCCTACTTGATTAAAACTGCTACATCATCTATGCCTACTTGCTTGATTATGCACTTCATGTTATTGCCTGGAATTATGTCAATAAACTATTATTATTAATAGGCAATACAATCATATTGCATAATGTTGTTATACCATGTCAAATTATAAACTGAAATATGGTAAATGGCATAGATTACTTGAATTTAGGTACGTGAATGATTATCCTTTTAGATAATTTTGATTATGCTTACTTTTTAAGATAATGTTATATGCATATCCATCCAGTTGATGCCTAGTTTTTTTGAGAGCTTAATTGAAATATATAATGTTGTGACACATTTTTTTGATGATGTGATCACCGCATACATTGTGCAGTGAATGCACTGATTATTACATGACAATAATTTTTGTGCCAGAATTTGCTCTCTTATGCAATATGACTATATGTATATCAGAAAAGAAAATGTGGCATAATAATTATTTGCTATAGGCCATATATATTAAGATTTATAAATCTTAATGGGAGCTTTGCCCATATGGAAAATTAAAGTCATTGATTTATATACTTATTATACGATAGTCCTTGTAGGATTGTCATGATCAACAAGTGGTTACAACATGAATTTTAAACATAGCATTGCCCAGAAGGCGAATTCATAGCGCTAGTTATATGATAATAGCACTATGACAAGTTATATGACTAATGTCAAATTGATTTAATTCTGATTTGGAAGTCGATGATTATTTGTCCAAATTCATGCATATTGATGGTACTAGTTTTTATCATAAAATTATATGGCATGAGTCTTGAATCTTAAATATCTCAAATTTGAGTATCTGAACAAAATAATAGTGCATTTTTTAAATATAATTTTACCCAGAAGGTAAATCAAGAGCACTAATTTTATCTGTCACCCGTTACCTTGCCCCAAGCCCTTGATTATAGAAATTTGATCTAAAAAGGATTTATAGACCCTAAGTCAATCCCGAAAGGATATTTGGTGTACGCGGGTCTCATTGTCATCTATGATGGTCGTATTGTACTCCAGTAGTAGTACATGACAAAATTATGCTAAGTGTTCGGTCATTGGGCTATTTTTTAATAAGGTCTGGAAGACCCTGAATGTGGATTGATCTTTAAAGTGACTAATGACTTATGAATGAAGTTTGCAACTTCTATTTCTAATGCTATATGCTACTCTCCGAAAGTCAAAATTGACTCGCATCATGTTGGTTTGCCTGAAGCAAACAACTTGTGAATATTTTTTTTACACACGGTAATCACTGCCTGAAAATTTGGACCGGCGCAGTTTGAAAATTAAATTCGTGAAAAATACTTCTTGAACTCCTTTTGGCATGAAATTTTTCTGGAGAACCTAGACTCGTGGTATTTGATGTCTGTAAAAAGATTTTGTTAAAAATATGCTTTGGTGATTCCAGAAAAAAAATTAAAGTTTTAGCACTGTGCTGTCAATTATTTTTCTGCCTAGAGCAATGTTGGGAAATTTTTTAGAAAAAATACTTCTAGACCTTGGATTGACATGAAAATTTTCGTGTATGTTTTAGACTTGTTGAACTACATCTCTGTAAAATTTTGTGTCAAAATGTGTTACCATTTTTCCCAGAAAATTCAGCAATCCAGGTCAAAATTCTAAAAATTTTCTGCCATTTTCAGCTTGTATATCTTGTTGTTTTGTGATATTTTCATACTTGTATGAAACTATGAGATAAAATGAGAGCTTGCTTGGAAAAGTACTGTTTTTGACTCCCCAAAATAGGAATGAATGGGCCTGGCAGCAAACATGTGCTCATCATTCTTCGGCGAACGGTACTTCTCTCATTTTTATAATTTATGAATTAATAAGAATATCTCTTGTCATGTCATGCCTTTTGTGTACCAAATATGATGTGCATGACTAAATTGAGTTTTTGGTGTTCAAGACATATGGGACAATTATATCACATATTGCATGTGCTTCTCTTTAATTGACAACATTTAGCATATAATCTCTTGATTATGTTCACATAAGAGATTTTGTTATTTCTCTTGTTGGCAATTTATGATTTGCTATATTCCATAGCTATTGAAATTCATCACACAACTTATAAGTGAGGCAATAGCATGAATTCTCAGTATTGTTAGGTTGCACCTGTCGTTGCTAAACCTTAGCCTGCATGTGATAACAATTAAAGGCTATGACATGTTTACAGTGCTAGTTTCTGCTATAGAAACTCTTTGACATGAGATTTGGGCATATGTATTTAAGTTTATAGACCTCATTTTTCTATATTTATTTGCCCAGAAGGTAGATTAAGGACTTTAACTCTCTAAGGATGAACCTTGACGATAAATTCTTGACCAAAAATGGTCCACCTATCCCATCAATCCCTGAAGAATTGCTATGACGTTACTATGAGTCAAGTTCTTTTTACCCAAGTCTAACTCAATGCATATCACAAATCAATCCCTCAAGGATTGCTATACCCCATTTTTCACCTAGTACGTGGTTTCAGAAGTAACATTTCCCTATCTGCGTTATTTTATTTCCGCAGTCTATTTTATATCACCACCACAACGTACCTCTAAAATGGCTATCAAACAAACCTCCGCCTATTGATTAAATACCGAAAGCCCATGATAGGGGATCAATACATATAATTGGGTACGTTGACTGCATTCCTAATGAAGATTGTTTCTCGGCATTAGGGGGAGATAATATACTACTCCGTAGCTTTTTGGAATGCCAAGAAATTTCATAAGAATAAAAACATCTTCATTATTTAAATCCATGTACTAGTTAGATTGAACTGGAAGTTCAAAAGATAATCTATTTGCGATTTTAGTAAATAATCTGCCAAATACATCTATTGATCATAATGATCATAAAAGAAGTGACTAGGTCCTATATCCTTGGACCAAACATATCTATCGATACTCCTTGACACTAGAAGTGTTGGAGATCTATCGGTGAAAGAGATATGGATCATAATACTAGATCTAGTAAAGAAATATTGTCACTCTTGAAATAGCTTGAATAATTATGTCCTGCAGACGTTCGTCCAGATGACGAAAAACCCTGGTAAGACTTATAGGTGCACCAAACAAACGTAATACTAGGGATGCAGAACGACCAGATCAAAATATCTTTGGGAAATGTTTAGAATCTGGTTGTTTTAGAAATTGTCATTACTTTTACAAATATGGGAGACATTTATATAAAGGTTATAGTTGTCGACAACACAATTGCCATTACAAATTGCTCGTTATATGATAATCTGGATCCAGAGTTAGACACCGGAAGTGTCATGACTATTTAACATATAAAGGAGCAATTAAGGCATAGCTCGACTCGCTAAAATGAATAAATTCTCTTTATAACAATACACCATTTGAGCGTTAGCCCTGAAGGTTACAAATGGGTGTGTGCATGAAAGAGAAATGAGAATAATGAGGTGATGAAGCGAGTTTGTAGCCTATGGGTTCACGCAGAGACCCTTAATTGATTTTCATCAAATATACTCTCCCACAGTAAATGGCATTAAGTTCCGCTACATAATACAATTGGCAGAATACTAAATTTAGATATGCAGTTAAATTTATCTTGAGAAATCCCTGATGGATTCATAATTCTCGAAATGAGGATTTATTTAAGTATTATTATGTGTCATTATTTACTCTTTAAAGGGTTGCGAATGGAGTTAATATCCTCATTGAAGGAATAATATGTACCATTGTGTGCTCGATAAAGGGTTGATAATGAACTTATTTATTATTTATTATCTCAGTCAAGATTGATGGTGTAAACATCAATGAAATATATAAAGAGTTTGATAATGTCAGTTCAATGTTTAAAGACTGAGACTTTTGAAATAAAAAGCTTGTGAAAGCTATAAGTATTATCTCGACTTGAAGATCGAGTTTTTCTTTGAAGATTTTTTTATATACACCAGTCAGCCTACATCTAAAATTGCTTTTTCACATGTCTATATGCATATAAGTGTCATGTTCTTATCAAACTAAAGGTTGCCTAATAATCTCTTGAAGCAGATAAGGAACCTTTTTGGACTTGAAGTCCCTTACTTCATTATCGTTGGAGCACCATTATAGAACCAGAAGTTCCATAATCGCAACATATTTGCGATGAAATTGCTAGCAAAATCTAGTGCTCCCCCTACAAATGAAGTACTTGAATAATGATTAACATATCCTCCGGTATCTTCGAGATACAAAGACATGACATTTATGTAACAAACCATGATACGGTTTTAATAGGCTACTTGGATACTGGCTGTTTTGTTTGATCCCCGCAATGCCAAGTCCAAAACTGGTTATACAATGAATTTTCCTAAATGTTCAAAATGAGGAAAATAACACTTGTGTTGCACAAATGTTATATGAGCTCTAGAAGAGCCATAAGATTATTGTACACTACTCCAGTGACAATCCAGAAGATTTGTCCAATTCATCTCTTCAAATTTTGAAATATATGTAGAACTTGAAGATTGTTATCTTCAGTGGGAGACGGGAAGTACATTTACTTGAATCAATCCGGACGATTGAACGAAAAATCCTGAAGATTAAGTCATAAAAGACTAACAGTTGTGCACTACTTTTTACACAACGAGAAGTACATTTACTTGAATCAATCCGGAAGATTGAACGTAAAATCCTGAAGATTAAGTCATAAAAGAATAACCGTTGCGCACTATTTGTAACACATAAATACATAAATATTATGTGTACTCTTTTCCTCACTAGTTTTCTCCCATTGGGTTTTCTAGTGTGGTTTTTAACGAGGCATGAGTATGATATAGTAATGACAATGGGGAAAAGTTACAAAATAATTGCTTAAATGGACAAACCCCAAAATCCTGAAGATTATGCGATTTGCGCCCTGAAGGCTTATGGTTGTACTCTTTTTCCCTCAACTAAGTTTTTCCCACAGGGTTTTCTTAAGTTAAGGTTTTTAATGAGGCGACCAAATACAATATATGTTTTTACATATATCATGTACTCTTTTCTTCAACTAGGTTTTTCCCACGTGGTTTTCCTAGCGAAGTTTTTAATGAGGCATGGATACATTTTTCTTGTCTAGGTTTTTCCCACAGGGTTTTCCTAGCAAGTTTGTATGAAAGCAAGATTGTAGACGAATAATGTCCAAGGGGGAGTGTTATAAATATTATTGATTATTGATTTATGGCCATTATCTCCCTCAAACCCATGATCTTCCCCATTTATGATATTATTATATTGTAACTGTTATCCTTGTGATATATATATGTTTGTTTCAATGCTTAATGAGAATGGGGGATTTGATTCTGGAGTTGATTCATTCTTGATCTTTCTGCTCTTTCCCTTTCATAGATACCATCAAACTATAACAGAAACATGTTTACCAAGTTGAACAAGCTGGAACCATTCAGTTCAAATGTAAGTATTATGTCCTTGGCTTATGTGGGTTTACCTCTGTTAAGTAAATTTGCTAAGATTCTTAGGTTGAATTGATGACCCAGAACTCCAGCATGAAGGAAGAGTGTGTATAATTTCCTTCTTGCTTTTTTTCCCAATCCTTCTTGCAGTTGTATGAGTCACATATTCATGCCTTTTAATTAGATCTGGTTGCGGAGAGACATAGAACTCCGCCGCCTCCGCCACCGCCGCCGCCTTCCTTTTCCGGCTGGGCAAAGCTTCTGGAATTTGGGTCTGAGCAAATTGGAATTTGGAACTCAGGTGGTTCACGTCCTCCTGCCGCACCGGCTTCAGGAAGAACTCCTCCACCCCTTCCTCCAAACACCGGTCGATCATGGCCGGAACATCCTCGGACGACATGGAACAAGAAGGGAAAGAGGAAACAAAGGAAGATGATGGGACATGGGTGAAAGTGCCCCTGGCAAGAGGAAGAAGAAAGCAATTAAGGAAATGACTACACTACCCCTCTACTTAACGTTACTTTAACTGATATTTGACGGAAGGACCATTATTGAAATAAATCTGAAAGTCAAGTGTCCTTTTTTTTGTCTAAATTAAAAGTCAAGGACTAATTTTGGAAAATCGCAATAGTCGGAAGACCATTACTGGAATTAACTCATTATTTTCTTCCCTTAAATAACTTAAATTCCGTTAGTATAAACTTTAGTAAGGCAATATTCCGTTAACTATTTATTATTTTTAACTTACTCATTAATTTCTATAAGAAAGGTCTTATGTTCGAACCTCATCCCAATTAAAGTTGACATAATTTTTAAATATATACTACGAATATATTAAAATGTATTAATATATATATATATATATATATATATATATATATATATATATATATATATATATATATATATATAAAATATAATATAAAATTTAACATAAACTTTGGTCAAATAATTAGTCCGACTAAATGCATAACATTCAAAGTTAAGAATCAAATATTATAAATCAAGAACTTTAAAAATCATTTGATTTTTATGCATTTAAAAAAAAAAACAAATTTTGGTTAAGTTTTATTTTTCGTTTAATTAATCTTCTTTTGATTATTTAAATCAGAACAAAACTTAATATTTCAATTATACTTTTGCATTATTAGTATGATTTAGGTCGTTATGGTATTAATATTTTTTGTATGTATTTTTATAATGGTACAATTGTACATTACTTTACAAATATTATACTATTATTTTTTTATCGAAAAAAAAATTGTCTTACATCATTGTCAGACCTGCGCGACCTAACTACAAAGTTGTTGATCATAAATACAATTACACCTGGACTCTAAAACGGTAGGACCATTTTCCAAAGAATTGACAATTTTGACATCCCACTGACTCCAATTGAACAAGTTTCCACATCAGAGATTTTATCAATGCATGAGAACTTCTAAAGAAATTGAACAAGTTTCCACATCAGAGATTTTATCAATGCATGAGAACTTCTAAAGAAATTTGTAATATATCATTATAACAATATTTATAATATTGCATTGATATACTTATTTAAAAATAAAGTAAAAGTTCAAAGGAAAACAACTATTGGGAATAGAACACACGACCACTAGCATAACAATACAACCCTATTTCCTAATCAACCAACTTGACAAGCTTCAACACTTATTTACCTCATGCAAATAATATATTATTATTACTATTTTTATTATTATTATTTAAAAAAATAAAACAAAACAAAAAAGCCAGCTGGCCTGCCGTTAACGTTTCAAACCATTTGACAAAACTTAGACCAAATTTGACCATGACCATGGAGGTGGAGTCTGAAGATCATGATGATCTAGAGAAGGTGAAGGATTGTCTGAAAGAATGCGTAAAAGAAACCAAGCGTGTTCGAGAAGTTTTCGAAGGTTACGTGGCAAAGGACAGGGAAACTGAGAAGGAGATTCTTGACACAGTGGAGGAATGCTTGAAAGAGACGGATCGCATGTCTCTGGCGTTAAATGAATTTCTTTGTAAGTTTTAGAATAACTTTAGTTTTATTGTCAACTCCATTAATTAATTGTGTGTGTTCTAATTGTAGATCGACGAGAAATCAGAGCGGTTGTGGAAAGAATCGTGGCAGAAATAAAAGCGGAAAGAGTCGCGACTGCTACGGAAAGTACTGAGACCGGTTTCGATGCTGAGGCCGGATCTGGAGCTACTGAGGAATCTGCTGAGGCAGCGGATGCTACTAAGCCTGGAGTTACTGAGGTATCTGCTGATGCCAATACCGGTGAAAACCCCCAATGGACCTGCGACAATTTCAAGGAGTTTTTGAAGAGATTTGTATTGAGCATATAACCATTAATGTGCAATCCAACTATCAGCTTAGGCTTTAAATTGAGATGGAGCACATGTTTCAATTTGGTATCAGAGCCAGACCAAAGGTTGTGGGTTCGAATCTTAGCGCCACCCATAAGTGACTACGGTCAACGTGTTGCTTGGAACCCACCGCACACGTGTGGGGGCGTGTTGAGCATATAGCCATTAATGTGCAATCCAATTATTAGCTTAAAATTTTAGTTGAGATGGAACACATACTTCAATTTGGTATCAGAGTCAGACCAAAGGTTATGGGTTCAAATCTCTACGTATCTCTACGTCACCCCATAAGCGACTACGGTCCACGTGTTGCGGGGGGGGGGGGGGGGGGGGGGGTGTGTTGAGCATATAACCATTAATGTGCAACCAACTACTAGCTTAAGCTTTTAGTTGAGATGGAGCACATGTTTTAATTTGGTATCAGAGCCAGACCAAAGGTCATGGGTTCGAATCTTAATCTGTTTCTTTATGCAATAAAAAGTATTTCTAGTTTGCATGGTCCAATCATTGATTCCAAAATTTATACAATAAAATAAATGGGTAGGTCGCTAGTATAGTTTCCTATCCACGATTCTGCTATTTACTGGAATAAAAAAATATAGGATGAAGCTATATATAATAAGTAAGATTTTCAATGCTTTGTTTATCTACAACTACAAAGTAATAAACATTCAAATTGGATTAGATTCATATCAGTGCAATAGATCCTTTAATCAGTCATTCATTGAATGATAGCGACTACGGTCCACGTGTTGAGCATATAACTATTAATGTGCAATCCAACTATCGGTTTTTAGTTGAGATGGAACACATGTTTCAATTATTTGTTTGATTTATTTTTTTTAAATGTTGTCTTGTTTGGATTGTGTTTTTGTTTTTTTTCTGAATTGTTGAATTGTTGAATTGTCTTTGGAATTGTTATCTGCATTGAATGAAATTTTGTTGAAATATTTAGTTGTAGCCATGACTTCCCATGCAGTAGCAGTTGGTCTATTGCAGGTGGAGGTTGGCCTCTGATTAATCTGATTTTGGATTTGTGGACTCTGTGTCTTAGTTGGATAAAATGAAGAAAGAATTGATGGGAATATGCTGAAATGTCTGAGAGTAGAGTTTTGCTGCTGTCTTGGGGTAAAATGAAACTTCTGAAGTAGAGTTTTGCTACTGTCATGGGGTAGATCCTACCATGGGAGATGAAACTTCATGTTAATTGCTCCTGAAATGGAATATTGCTTGAACCAACTAGATGATGAAACAACTTCTGAGATCTTGATGGTGCTGGAATCAGGGAATTAAAGGCTGCAGCTCTGTGGAGCTGAACTGCAGGTGGAAACAGAGATGAGAAGGCCTTTGGTCTGCAGCAGAATGTGATGTTCAGTTCTACAGATGTGTAGAAGAAAAAGAGAGCTGAAATGGAATGCATGTTGGTTGGTTGGTTACTTGCAGCGGCATTTGCTACAATTTTGAAAGGCTGCTGATAATCTGTGAATGCTTGGAGAAGTTGAATGAGATCTGCAGGGTTGAAACTGGTTGTTCTGGAAATAAAATGCAAATGAAATATTTAATGATGGTAATAAAATGCAAATGAAATTGGTTGTCCCGTGCGTTATTTAATCATCTCTCTTTATAATTGGTCAAATTATTTAATTTTGGTAAATTAGGGAATAATTAATGATGGTAATAGAAATCCTAGAAGAATATAGAATTAAAGAATATTTAATTATTGTTATATTATTATTGTGACTCACGAAATACAATACAAGAATATTTAATTATGGTTATATTGTTATTGTTTGCCTCACGGCCATTATATACTAACAAAACTTGAAAAGAGCTAATAATAATAATAATAATAATAATAATAATAATAATAATAATAATAATAATAATAATAATATAAGTGGTAAAAATAATATCTTAAAATAATTAAGTGTTAATAATAATAGTAAGAATATTAACGTAAGAATTATAACATAGAATAAATCGTAATAATTAATAACTATAGTTTAGGATTAAATTTGGAATTTTCAGGAAAGATATGCGACCTCTGGTCAAATTAACTCTTAAATAATTATATATCGATTTAAATATTCTTAACATATTACAACAATTTCATTCTGTGCATCGCACGGGTGAAAATACTAGTTGATTTTAATACCAATTTAAATGTCATCCATTAAAGGCTGTTAACCCGTCAACCCTATATAAAGAGAGGTAGGGCATGAGTCTTTTTAGAAGAACAAGAAATCAAAGGAATTCAACTACGTTTTAGCTCCCAAAAACTCTGCTCAACTTCTGAGCTACAGCAAAACTCTACTTCAGAATTCAACTTTGAATGCTATGTATTTAATCGGTATTTGACAAAAGTTTATATTAAATTTTATATTATATTTTTTTAGTACATTTTAACATATTCATAATATATGATTAACAATTATGCTAACTCTAATTGAGATGAGGTTCGAACCTAAGACATTTCTTATATAAATTAATGAGTATGTTAAGAATAATAAATAGTTAACGAAATATTTCGTTACTAAAGTTTATACTAACGGGATTTAGGGTTATTTAGGGAAAGAAATAATATAATAGAGGGTAAATAAAGAAAAGGAATAAGGTTCAAATTGGCCACCGAACGTAACCTGAAAATGCAATTAGGCCACTGAACGAAAAAAAAAGTGCAATTAGGCCATTGAACACTAAAAAAATGTGCAATTAGGCCACTGAACTCTCCAAACGTATGCAATTTTACCGGATAGCAGGTTACCATCAATTTTAGCAGGTTACCTACTTACGTGGCAGCTTAGTTGGCATTTTTAATAATTTTTAAATAATTTTTAATAATTAATTTTAATAATAAATTTTATAAAAAATTGGAAAAAATTAAATAAAAAATAAAATAAAGTCATTTTTATTTTTTAAAAATTTTTTTAATAAAAAGTTATTATTAAAATTTATTAAAAATTAATTAAAATTTATTAAAAATGCCAACTCAGCTGCCACGTAAGCAAATAACCTGCTAAAATTGAGGGTAACCTGCTATCAGGCGAAATTGCACATTTTTGAAGTGTTCAGTGGCCTAATTGCACTTTTTTTTTCGTTCAGTGACCTAATTGCACTTTCAGGTTACGTTCAGTGGCTAATTTGAACCTTATTCCTAAAGAAAATTATTAAAAATTACTAAAATCAAAATAATATTAACCATTCATTTTAAGAAACAACTACTACCGACATTTTTTTGTTCCAGACTTCCAGTTAAGGGCCTAACATTATTGGCTCTTATTAGATTTGTAGATTGTAGATGTAGATATAATCTTTATCTTTATATCTTTATCTTTATATCTTTATATATATATATATATATATAATAAAGCGGAATCTAGCCACAAAATTTTCCCTCCGTGTGAATGCATTTTGATAGAAACAAGATTAGCAAATATGAATGCATTAATTGTGTGGGTAGATATATTTATACAAGTTTTTTTTTTTTTTTTTTTTTTTTGAAGTTATTAGGTGTATTTATATTTTATAAATTATATTTTATTATTATAACTCTACCTATATCTCTATATATATTAAAGCATAATGAAGTATGGAAAAAAGTTTATTGTCTCAATAGTATTAAAGTATAATGAAGTATGGAAAAAAGTTTATTGTCTCAATAGTATTAAAAAAAAAAATTACTGTGTTCAAATTTATTGATAAAGTTTTATATTTAATATAAATTGTGTAGATATTTATTTAAACCTCAATTATAATTAATTTGACCAACATATATAAAAAGAAGAAATTAGATATAAAATAAATATAGTTCTTACATAAATAATCTTTTCCAAATGAATAAGTTTTTTGTGGAAATTTTTGACAAATATCGTCTGTTATTTTATTTACAAGTTTTATTTAAATATGTTAATTATATAAATAAAGTAGCTATTTCAAATTCAAATTCATTTAAAAAAAATTCAAATTTAAACAATAATACAAGTAACAATAAACTTTAAAATCAACATAATAATAACATAATTAAACTTTTAAAAATATTAGTATAGTTATACTTACATTTTTAATCAAACTAATTCTAAGCTCAAGAACTCAAGTACGCTTTCTGTTTCCACAACTATTACTTTCTTTACTAATTCACAGAATGCCAACAATTTAATTGATAAATTTATTAAATTAATAATAGTTCGTGCATCACACGGGACAATTAGTCCTTCACTTAATCACACATTTCAGAGCATAAATACTTGTTATTGTTTCGATTTATGGCGTAAAATTGGTTTGATATGTCATATTTTTGTGATGCGAATTGGAGCGGCGTACCTATAACCTATAGTTCACATTAAATACGGGGTTTTAATATATACTACGTATTATATAATATAATTTTTGTAAAAATTATTTACTATACACCAATAAAAAACAGGGGAGAAAAAATAAAAAGGAAAAAAAAAAAGAAAAAGAAAAAGCGAAGCTGCTGGGAGAGGGAGAGAGAGAGAGAGAGGGGGAGAGAGATTTTTTGACAGAAGAGAGAGAAAATTCGGGCCAAACGGAGAAGAGGAGAAAGAAATGGGTAAGGCCACAACAGCAGCAGCAACAGTGTCTGTAGCATCAGACAAAATGAAGCGGAAGAAGAAGAAAGGGCGGCCATCTCTGTCGGATCTCCGGGGCCGAGACAGCAATCAATCGCCGGGTTCGAATCCGACCACGCGCCGATCGACGCGGCGTAACCCTAATTTGGACTCCCCGGCCTCCCCTCCGCCGGAGTTTGACGAGGACGACGACGAGAGGAAGGAGAAGAAAGTGAAGCTCGTTGGGCGGTTGCCCCAGTCCAGCGCCAACCAGCTCCAGCATTTCGAGAATTCCCCCGGGAATTCGGACTCGGGTTCCGACCCGGACGACGAGAATCTCGAGGCGTCCGTTAAGAAACGCAAGGTCGACGCCGAAGATTGCAGATCTGAACTCGCCGTCTCTGATCAGGTTCCCCAATTTTCTGGCTTATTTTTTTTTTTATTTTTATTTTTTATTGGAGGGAGTGGGGGAAAATGGGAGAAATGATTTCAGAATGTTCCTAATAATCCGAATCTGGGGGGACTTAATCAATGTATTTCTATTTTAGGAAAAATTGAAGAACATGGTTTTATATATTTTTTCTCTTGTAGAAAAATGATTTTTGGGATTTTCTGTGCCTCAAAGTGATTAATTTTTTCTAGAAAATTTGGCGCGTAACCCTTTGACTTTCATGATCTCAATTCTCAAGTCCATGTGTTTTGACTCAACCATAAATTTTCTGTCATATAATCCGGAGTAATAATTTTTTTTTTTGTTGGTATTTATTTCTTTCAAATATGGATATACTTAAAAAGAACATTTTTTTCGTATAAACGAATCTTCTACGGAGTATTAAACTGTATTCTTGATAATTTCTTGTTTATGGAATTCCCCTTTTGAAAATTATTGCTGTGCTTAAAGTGCTATTTATAAAAATATACATATCACGTTTCGCAAAGTCCCAGATTTAACTTTTCTTTGATTATTTTCAGTTGCTAATTTTTTTGTGTTGTACTTGCTCTGCTCTTTTGTGCTTTGTTTTACTCCCTTATCCATTATTGAGCGACTCCTTTGACTGAATCTTGATAATTTCTTGTTTATGGAATTCCACTTTTGAAAATTATTGTTGTGCTTAAACTGCTCTTTCACTGTATTTAAGCTGAGTAATTATTGTTCAAACAACATAAAATTTGTATTAATTTTGCAGGGAGAAAAGACTTTGAAAGCGACGGACACTCAACATGGTTCTAATCTAACCTTTCACTCTCTGGAAATCTTGATTTTATATAAACAAATACACACATGTATATACACGATATATATATTCTTCAGAAATTCCCAGTAATTTGGTATGTTTTTCTTTCTTTTCTGTTAAATGTAATTGTAATTATTAATTTTGTGGACAGGGTCACCATTGGCCTCTGGCCCCACAACACCTTTGCCAGACAAAAAGTTGTTGGTCTTCATTCTTGACAGACTTCAAAAGTGTGTATTTTTTCTTTTAGCTCCTTGGATATTCTTTGAGCTCTTACTGTTTTCAGATTATTAGGCTTATGCCAGTTTCCTTTTTATAACAAATGCAGGAAGGACACTTATGGTGTATTCTCTGAACCTGTGGATCCAAATGAGGTGCTTTGCTACTAACACTTTCTTTTTTCCTGCTGATTCTTGTTCCTTGAAAGCCAATTGTTCAAACGGTTTCTTTGCAGCTACCTGATTATCATGAGATTATAGAGCATCCAATGGATTTTGGGACTGTGAGAAAGAAGCTTGATGGACGGCTTTATTCAACCCTTGAGGAATTAGAGGTTAGTTATAGATTTTGAAGCTGAGAACTGTATTACTGTAATGCTTTTTACTGTTCTTGTAAGTTATAGTTCTAATGAAGCCATATGGTTTTATGTGAGCCATCAAGTGATAATGATGTATGTGTTTTTAATTTTGATTGTCTGAGAAGTATGGATGCAATGTTGCAGTGGTGCACATATCTTCATTCCAACCCTACATGATATGAGAGTCTAGAGCATTCTTTTAATTCAGTTAATTAAGCCTTTACGCCTTTTATAAAACATAAATAGAGGTATATTATTTTTTGGCTGACAGTTCTAGTGATTAATAGCCAACGCCCCTTTTGCAATTGGATGCCCTTTTCAAGACTTTCAACCTGAGAATGTTAGTTTTGGGTGTGGTGTTTGGAAATTTTCCAAATGGTTGTATGGTTTACACTGAACATCATAATTCTGGGAAATACTGCTAGAATTTTATGCTGTTGTATACATGTATGTTTTATTTACAAGAATAAAGGTAAGTAATCTGCTAGAGGCTTGATTTATCCAATCCATTCTCATGGTGTTTCTTCATGAAAAATAAATCTATTATTCCATATTTTGATGTTCTTGTAGTGTATCAAACTTTTTAGCATTGCAAATATATCAAAGTGATTTTTAAAAAAGTTTGTTCTGCTAGGTGTGTTGAGGGTATCATTGTTCTTGACTAGCAGTATCTCAATATTACCTTATGAATATCTCATTATTACCTGCAATGTCTCTGTGGTTGCTGTCTTCCTGTTCTAGTTTTGTACGTTTGCAATTTCTCCACAAAGGAGTTTTTTGTCCTCAATCTACAGTAGTGTGTCTTAAGGATCTAGCTCGTCTTATTTACACAAGAAAAATAAAAAAAATAAAAAAAGAAGAAGAGGGTTTTTAGCTCTTTGAATCCTATGTCAGTTAACCTCTAGTGGCTTGGCTGTATGCATGGATCTCCCCGATTCTTTGTATTATCTTATCATTCTTTTTAATTTATTTTGTTCCATTTCTGCTATATTTATTTAGTGCATTATTTATTGGGGATTGGTAACATTTTGGCACACCGCACATGACTGGTTTTAAAATTGACTGCAACGTATTGTTTAATGCAGGCTGATGTATACTTGATATGTTCAAATGCAATGCAGTATAATGCACCGGATACTGTTTACTACCGGCAGGTGTGCCTTATTCTTTGTATGCCGTGCCTCATTGCTTATCTTGAATCTGCTTGATCTTGAAAATTTGACTATTTCAGGCACGGTCTATTCAAGATCTGGCAAAAAGGGACTTTGAAAATTTGAGGCATGAGGGTGAGGATGGTGAACCACAACCTAAGGTTGTTCGTAGAGGCAGGCCCCCAAGTAGTAAAAATATGAAAAAGGGTATCGAGACATCTCCTGTTGATTGTGTTTGTCCCGAGATTTCCTCCGGGGCAACTCTTGCCAGTGGGGAGGATAAAGCTATTGGATCTAATTCTTACAATCTAAGAAAGGCACAGCCACTTTATAGGTTTCGGTCTAATGATGTATCTTTGTATCGATCACGCAATGGCGAGAGTTACTCTGAGCGGTCCAACGATTGGAATGACGAGTTCCCAGGTTTCGACATGTACATTATGTGCATTATGTCTATTTCATCTTTTATTGTGAAAAATGAGCGAGCATATTTTACTTTTTCAGCTTCCATTTTGAGAGCTGACATGAAGTACGGAAGCAAACACTTTGCACTTGAGGACAATAGGCGTGATACGTACAAGCAATTCCATTCATCTTCTGGAAATGAACCATCATTATTTGACAACAGAAATGGAAACCTGAAGTGGTTAATGGCTGTATGTATCTCTCTCTCGATAATATCTCTCCTCTACTAATGTTGGCAGGATTGGTCTCTGTAGAGTCAAATCCCGTTTCCAGATAATTTGAAAAATGTTATAACAAACCTGAGAACTTGGCATCATAACTCCCGACAGAGTTGCCACTTGTTTGTCTGGCAAATATTTCCATTTTTTTAAAAAAAAATTTTTAACTGTGATTTAAACGCTGCATTTGATCTATTGCCTGACTGAACCTTGGCGTACTGTTCAACTACTATGCAGGTAGGGCTTCAGTTGGAGCAACACGCTTATGCAAGGAGCCTAGCGAGGTTTGCGGCAAATCTTGGACCCGTTGCCTGGAAGGTAGCGTCAAAGAAATTGCAGCACGTTCTTCCTCCGGGAGTTCAATTTGGTCCAGGGTGGGTGGGAGAAGGTGGAGCTCAGCCACAGCCATCATGCCTTTCACCCGAGACGCACAACTCACCAAATAGATTGGCACCAACTGATCACCATTCTAGTAGACCTTTAACCCCGCCTTTTCCTAGTTCAAACTCTGCCACCGCAAGCACATCCTCTGAAGCAATGGTCGAAGCTGTCAGGAAATTGAACAGCCTGAACGAGATGTCAGACCAGCGCGGTGGTGGGTACAACACCCCTCAGGCCTTACAAAAATCCATATTTCACCCAAACCGGAATGGTATGAATGGCATGTTTGGATACGACCTGAACGTCCGAGTTCAGCCCCCCGGTCCAGCCTCGCCGAGTTCTAGCATCCAAATCGGTTCACCAAAGCAGCCAGACTTAGCTTTACAACTCTAGACTTAGGCCCTCCTATAACTAATCGCAAAGGTTCGAGGTGTTGTGCAATCGGACGCTAATGAAGGAACGGTAAGATAGCTCAGCAGCAGTGTAACAGAAAGGGAGAAAATTTGTACAGATTGTGTATTCAATTTTTTTGGGTTGAAACTCAGGGGGATGTCTTCTGCACCCAACCTTTGAATCCCGCAGTTTAGATCAAAAAAGAAAAAAAGAAAAAAAAAATGAGAAGAGAATAGAGAAATGGTGAATTTCTTTTTAGAATATCAATCAAATCATACATTGAAAAATTGTATTGTATTATGTCAGTAACTACTACTCAGTGCTTAATTTGGATTCCAAAATTCCTCCCTATTTACTTGCAACTTTCAACTTGTCTTTACCCTAAAGCACTTACCATTTCACTTGTGTTATATATGTATGTATGTTTGTTTTGGAATTAGTAGGAAAAGGGAACATCGAGAAAAAGAAACTAGCTACCCAGCACACCATCGGTCTGCATGGATAGTTCAGTTAGACTTACCCTCTGTCTGTACGGATAGTTCAGTTAGACTCAAGATCGAGCCCTAATATTCGCTGTATAAAAGTTCCACTCTTTTGTAGGGGTCGCTCATTGTAGGTACCAGGTGAGAGTCACCAAATGAACCGTTTAATCAATGTAATTTATCATTTCACAAGGATTTAGAAACTAGTCACCAAATGGACCGTTGAATAAATTATCATTCCACAAAGATTCAGGATTGAACCTAATAGTCGTACTGTGACAGTTTCATCATATTATAAGGGTGGTACCGAACATTGGTCCTCTTACCTAATTAGTTCAACCCGTAATTTATCCTTCCTTCCACAATCTGATAGACTGAAGTGTGAATGCCGTTAGATCAAGAAATTTCGCCCTTGTAAACAAAGTATCCATACCCCACGATCTTAAGCAAAGGACCCCTATACATTTTAGTTGTAGCTAGCCAACCAATTCACGACAAGTATTCTAATAAACACATGCTAAGACCTTCTATCTCACACAATCTACAAACCCTTTAAGCACATCCCAAAATTCAGCTTCAACCGCACTAAAAGGGAATTAAGGATCGAATTTACTAAAATTTTTTAGTTTTTTTACATTTCACTTTACTCATGAAAAAACTTAAAAAGTTTTCGAAAATGGCGGCGGCTGCATGGAATGTGTCGTTACCATAGGGCTGCAGTTGGCGATGAAGACCATATACAACAGATATGATACAGACGTGCTTCTTTGACTTTGACCGGATAAACCATTCATACTTTCATTACTAATCATTGCTTTAATAATATATAATTTAATAATTCCTCTAAATTCTTTATTTAATATTGTATTTTATAACAACATCTTCTTAGTCGAACCTGTTCAAAAAAATTTTTAAATGTGCTTTACTTTCTTTTTTCTCTACGTAATTTGCGGACTATTAGTATGAGTGGAGTTTATCAAAGTATACACCCTTAAATAAAATGGGTACGAGCTGAGTTTCATTGATCACTCAAAAAAATTATATTTTATGAAACTATTCATTTATAATTTTAATATGGACTTACGGAGTAACTCATAATCTCTTATTGAAGTCCTTAGAATGATTAATTTTTCCCAAAAGGTTAAATCCTCAACCCTAAGGGCCCCCACACCCCGACCCGACAGAGTATTTGGGAGGATGTAAATCATGGTAACTCAATTGAACCACAGAGGCTAGACCTTTGTTTATTGCGCACAAGGGGCTCCCTCACTTTGAAAGGTTGCTCCCACACTGCCGCTGGTGAGACTCGATTCCTGGTCATTCTTCCCAAACTTCACTCCTATGACGAATTGAAATTAAATGATTAATTAGTCTTGTGTAAAGTTATACAATTTTGATCGAGTTAGTCAAACAGTTGATTTGGTAACACATTTTTAAATTTTACTCCTTATAAAAATTGCTTATTGATTTTCTCAAATTAAAGGTCATAAAGTCACAAAATTGCCTTCACTTATAACAAATTTTCAAGTAATATCAATGATTTTTTTTTTTTTTCATAAATCAAAGTGTTGTGGACAAACCTAAATTTTTGTGTTGAGAAATCATATATTCATATCTAAATAAATTAAAAAGAGTGGCACTTTATGTATGCTCAAATATAGTTCAAACGTGCACGCCATCACATGCCGCGTGGCACAACCTCAGTGGACACTCCACTGGCAATAGAATCTCTTACCAAACCCAAACACGTAATTCCGAAAGGAATTTCTAACTAATTTTTAGCGTATAAATTTCGATAATAATTCTAAATTTTAGTCTATATTTCCTTCTTTATATATGAGACATGCAACCCCGCTTGACTTAATAATCACAAAATTTCAACTATAAAAAATATCTAATGACCTTTTTCGTTTGAGTCAATCAGAACAACCTAACTTGATTTATTTTCTTGTGATCTTTAAATTAGTTAACTTGAACTTTAAAGCGAACCTTACTCAAAACGCATTTTTGGATAGCAATTGTAATTTTCTCGTAAATTAAACAATTTTAAAAGAGCAGCAAAAAGTTACAAGTTTAATTTTTATCAACACCCATTTGTGCAATTTGGAGGCTATTGCACCAAAAATTTATATAGAAAATTAGAAATCAAATAAGGGTTGAAATACCATATAATTTGGATGGTATGATTGAACCAACAAGAAAGGATATAGAAATCATATAATTGAAGAAAAAAATATTCAAGTTCAAAGTCATATGAGAACATAGAATCTCCATTATACAACAAGCAACGATACATAAGGATCACCCAAAATGTTTTTTTTTTTTTTTAATATTATTGACTTTATTTAAAGAGTCAATATTGCCTCCATCGAAACCTCAAACCCACAACTTCCCATATAAAGGAGCAACTTGGTGCCATTGGCCCATAATTTTTTTTTTCTTTTAACATATAATTATATTATAATATTTATTATTTCCTGACATATCAAATATTACACAATTTATTCATAATAAATTGATTATATTAATTCACTTGTGACAAAATATTTGATGCATCGTTATAGTATAAGAACATACCCATTTGTTTGGGATCTTTTGTGGGTTTTTATTAGGAAAAAAATATAACCAAGGGGAGAGAAAAGCCAAATTAGAAGAAAAAAAAAAATAGTTATTAACAGCTTTTAACAAGCTTGTTGGACACACATGTTTGACAAACCTAGCCGACTCTTCAATATTGTTTTAAATCTAAAAAATTATGTCAAAAAATCAAACTTACAAAACAATCTCTCTCATTTCTCATTCACTTCATAAAAACTATAACAAAAGTCCAAAAAAATAAAAAAATCAATGGGAATGCTCTAAGTTATGCACCACTGAAGCATCCAAACACATTGACAAGGATTTTTTTTAAAAAAAAAGAATATAATAAATCTTTAATTGTAAGAAACATAATTATTTAATTTATATGCAAAAGAAAACAAAAATAGTCAAGTCTAATTTTTATTTTAATGAGGTGACATATTATTGTTCTCTGCTGACATATAGCACTTGTATATATTTGGACCATGTATTAAATATTTTTTATAATTAAATATGCATTTTCATAAAAAAAGTTCATACACGGAGTAATAGTTAAATAGAAAAAGACGTATAATACATTAATACTGCCACATCAAGCATTCAAAGACAATTTTGATAATGGAATGTAACAAAACTCTGTAGTCATATATATATATATATATATATATATATATATATATATATATAATAATAATAATAATAATAATAATAATAATAATAAGGAGTATTAAACAATCATACAATAATGTTATGCATAAAAAAGTGGTAATTTAAAATCATAAAATAATGCATATTTTTTAGATAGTAAGTGAGGGGTAACTCAAAGCGAGCTAATGCCCGTTCTCAGCTCTTAACGAGCGACACAATAAATCGATTTTGTCATCCTTAACAACTCGCTTAATTTTTAATGGGAGATCAATACACTCAAACCAAGCACATCTTTTCTTCGGAGTATCTTTTGCGAGCCCATCCGCCACCTTATTAGTTTCCCTTGGAGCGTAAGTAACACTGATAGTGCAATCCTGATTTATCCAAGCAATACACTGATCTCAGCAGGGTGGTTCCCTTGTTAATCCAATTAACACCTTACAAGGCTTTTGATTGGAGGGAATTTAAATTCCATTCCCACTTAATTCCCATCTCACTCCAAAGGCCACTAAATTCCTTGGTTTGGTTGGAATGAGTTGCAATTCCGTGGATTTGCAATTCCCTCATTTTCATGGAATTAAAATTCCATGCCCCATTGGGATTTTAATTCCATAGATTTGAAGAATAAAAAAAGATAATGATGATACAAAATTACAACTCTCATTTTTAAACCTAAAATTGATGTCTGACAACGACAATGTGCATTTTGGACTTTATACTACTTATTCCTTTTCAATTTTCATGTATACCAAACATTGAAATTGAAATTTTCAGTAATTTTATTCTTGTAAACCAAACACTGAAATTTAAATTCTCACTTTATTCACAGTTATTCATCTCCAATGGAATTGCAATTCCTTTCCCACGTAAATTCCTCCATCCAACCAAACACCCCGTTAAGAGAGTTTCTCTGAACCCAAATTTTGGGTTGCCCTTTCAATCAAGCCCACGGGAGATTAGCGCAATAGTTACGTTGTGCAACCGAATGCACAATGCGCATGGTGCATACGATGCAAAATGACGTCGTTTTGACTAAAAATGCGCGTCCCACTTAAAAAAAAAAATTTCAGGTTCGATTCTCGGCAATAACATTATTGTGGATATATAGTTATGAATTTCTGGATATATAGTTATCAATTTGTGGATATATAGTTATGAATTTGTGGATATATAGTTATGAATTTATGGATATTTAGTTCATTCATTGTAGATATTTACTTCATTCATTCACTGTGGATATATAGTTATGAATTTCTGGATACATAGTTATGAATTTATGGATATTTAGTTCATTCATTGTAGATATTTAGTTCATTCATTGTAGATATTTACTTCATTCATTCACTGTGGATATTTATTTCATTCATTGTGAATTTTTACTTCATTCATTCACTGTGGATATATAGTTATGAATTTATGGATATATAAAAATGCTATTGCCGGAAATCGAACCTGATTTCTTCTTTAAGTGGGACGCGCATTTTTTAACCAAAACGACGTCGTTTTGCATCGAATGCATGGTGCATTCGGTTGCACAGCATAATTTGCAAGATTAGCGAGGATTGCTATAACCTCACCTTAAATATAAAATAATGTATATTTAACCACTTACATAATTTATACTTTTTATTTTTTTAAAATACGGCCTTTTTATAAATATTTATAGAAATAAATTAAAATTTATGTTTTCTTCAAAAAAAAAAAAAAAAAAAAAAAAAGAAGAAGATGTTGTTGCCAAATAAGACTCTACTTTTGAAAAGATATGGATCCCAAAATCATCGCATTTTATAGTAATTTATACAATGCAACAATACCCGACCCGACCACATAATCCTTTATCGGTTTATATTCTTCCCTGTTTTTAACGCAGCATCTCTGTTTCATTCTTCCATTAACGCCTCCCGGATTCTCAATGGCCAGAAAGGGTCGTGGGAATTCCGCGTACGTCGTCGTTTCGCTTCTCATCTTCTTCGGCTTGCTCTACAACCGTTGCATCTATCACGCCGCCGTTTCTCACTACGCCGTTCACTTTTCCGGCGTCGCTCAGCCCCGAACCACCAAAAGCGCCGCCGACTTTACGGCCAATAAACTCATCACTGAGAATTTCAGACTGGGAGCCGCCCCTGGTCGTCGAGTGGTCCCCACCGCGCCGTCGATTCCGGCGGTCTCCGTCGCGGTTCCGGACTATGAGGTATTTGTGGTCGCCTCGCCGGAATATTCTCCGCTGTCTTGGGATGAAGATGACCCCTACGTCTGCCTCTTCGAGCAGGGAGAAACCTCGCCGGCGATCCCCGTCGGAGTGTTGCCGTTCCCTGATCGGTCACTGTTCAAGTGCGAGTATCCAGGGAACGCTCGCCGGAGAAAGGTGACGAAGCAGCCGATTTTGACTCTCTCGTCTTCTCTGATCAATTTCACTTCTTCCCCGAAAAATTCACAACCGCCTCTACTCCAGTGGAATTTTCTGGCATACGACTCTATCACGACCGAGAACGACGTCGTTTTGTTCGTGAAAGGCGTCAATAACCGTCAAGGTATCAACCGGAACCCATCAGAATTCCGTTGCGTTTTCTTCCTCGGAGATGAAACAATCAAAACGAACGTCACCAGCTCAATACAAGAGGTCTTTCGCTGTAAGTTACCGGAATTCCCCGCCGGGAAACAGCTCATCAAAGTCTCCCTAGAAATTGTGGGACCCAATCCGGTCATCGTCCCGACTGTCACGTTTTACAACCCACCACTCCACCTAGCCGAACCGGGAAACCGGGCCGGGAAGTCCAAGCTCTGCGCCGCCACCATGGTCTATAACGTCGCGAAAAACTTAAAAGAATGGGTTATGTACCATTCCAGAATTGGAGTCGAAAGATTCATACTTTACGACAATAACAGCGACGACGAATTGCCACAAACAGTGAAAAACCTGGTACACCAACAACAACAAGAAGGTATCGATATAACAACCTATTTTTGGCCGTGGCCGAAAACTCAAGAATCTGGGTTTTCACACAGCACGGTATACGCTAATAGCTCGTGTTCATGGATGATCTTCACCGACGTGGACGAGTTTCTGTACTCGAAATCGTGGGACGATTTTAAAGAGCCGTCGCGATCGCTGTTACGCTCTGTGTTACCGGAAACCGGCGACGTGGCGCAACTCAGCGTTCCTTGTCTCGAGTTTGGGCCGTCGAACCGGACTTCCCATCCGCCGGCGGGCGTAACGCAGGGGTATAATTGCCGGCGACGGAGGGACAACCGGCACAAATCGATTGTTTTATTGGACGCCGTGGATTCTTCATTGGCTAACGTGATTCATCATTTCGAGTTGAAGCCGGGGTTCAAGACGGCGAAGGTGAAGCTCGAGGATATGGCGGTGAACCATTATAAGTATCAGGCGTGGCCGGAGTTTAAGGCGAAGTTCCGGCGGCGGGTTTCGGCGTACGTCATTGATTGGACCCGACAGGAGAATCCGAATTCGAATGACCGGACTCCCGGTCTAGGGTACAGGCCGGTCGAGCCGGAGGGATGGCCGATGAGATTCTGTGAAGTGTACGACGAGGGGTTGAAATTGCTGACGCGGAGATGGTTCGGCGTGGAATCTCCGGCGGGTCTCCGATTGGCTTGGCAGAGTAGATGATGCCATGATGGTCCAACCTTAAAACCCTATTTAATTAATTAATTTTTTTAAAGATTCTTTTTCTTTTTGGGGTATTTTAATTTACATAATTTTGCTTTAAGGTTGTTGTTTTGTGGATTTTTATTGTAGATATACTGATTATATATTCTTTTTTGTTATTTTAATCCCATAATTGAATGGGAGATGATAGATAACATTCTTCTGTAGTTCTGTCTAATCCATTTGTTACTTGTTAGGGGTCAAATACTCAAATTCCTTCCTAATCACAAAAAAAATAAAAAAGAGTTTTGTGATTATCTTTCTCTAATTTGAAATTTTTATTTTATTAGTAGATATATAATATAATTTTGGTGTGAGTGTATTTTTTTTGGTCAAAATATAATTAAATAAGATAATAAAATAATATATGAGGCTATAGTATCACTTCTAACAGATAATAAGCTAATGCGTTACATCACTTCTAATGCGTTATTTTCAATGTCAATTCTTACCGATGTATTATATTTTACAAAATACAATATGTTCTAGCTATGTAAGCCAAAGAGTCATTCTCTCTACCACTTCTAACTGACAATGGCCTTGTTTGGTAAAAAATTGACCTATAGGCCAATTTTAGCTTATTTGACCACTATTAATTGTTTGATTTAGTTAAAATATCAATATAAATGTTTGCAACTCTAATAAAAGGCTAAAATTTAAAAAGCTACTCCTAGCAACTTTTTCAATTAGCTTTTTGAGAAAAGAAATTATACCAAACAGCTATCGGCTAACAGCTAATTTACCAAACACTTTTCTACAATCAGCTAATGTTATCAACTATTTATACCCTCTAATTAACATAATCAGCAAACAGCTATCAGCTAACAGCCATTTTACCAAACAGAGCCAATAACTTTTGTTCTAATATATTATATTTTATGAAATACAATGTGTTCTAGCCGAGTAAGTCAATAAGTCATTCTTGGAAGTATTTTTCCTAACATATAGAAACTGTATTTTATGAAATATTTAGGAATGCATAACTTAAATAAGTTGTTTATCATATCTCAATATGTATTACCCTTCTAGACTAGATACTGAATAAATGAATAAACATTTATAAATTTTTGTAATAAATATTACAAAATAATTGTAAGTTTAATTTGGTAAAATAATAAAAGTATTTATTACAGTAATACAGTATATGCATATATATAAAAAGAACATAATTAAAAAATTTATAGCTAATTGGAAAGATTCTAAATCTATAATAACTTCTAGATATGTAAAAAAACATTTTCCTATTATGCATGACTGATTTGGATTTTAATTACCGAGTATTAATAACTTAAAAAAATTAACCAACATGGTTGGCGTGATGGTTTAACACCTCGTCCTTAAGCATGAGGTTGGGGGTTTGGACGGAACCATTTGACCAGTTCCCTACCACTTAGTGTGCTGACCATTGGGATGGAAGATTAGTTTTCTGGCTATCGACGGGAGGGATACATTTGAGCAACCAAAAAAAAAAACTTACAAAAATTAATTATATATATATATATATATATATATATATATATATATATATATATATATATATATATATATATATATATAGAGAGAGAGAGAGAGAGAGAGAAAATTTGGACCAAATGAGAACTAGTAGTCTCGTGAGAACTAAGAATGCACGAATCGATCTCATCCGTCCATTTGAGATAATCAAGCATTGAAAATTAAAGAAAAAAATAGTGATATTTTTATAATTACGACGGTACATTTACAAATAACTTACAGTTGCACTCACGATCTCACGTGCATGTACTGTTAGTTATTCACTGATGCACTGTCAAGTGTTTCCAAATGCACTATATAGTAAATACATAAATGCTACCATATTTTTTCAACATTCGATCATCCTAGATGAATAAATGATATTAGTTTACACGTTCTCACATGACTACAAATTCTCATGGGAGCCCAACCGTCAAGTAAATCAATAAGTCATTCTCAAAAGTATTTTCCCAACAAATACATATTGTATTTTATGAAATATTTAGGAATGCATAACTTAAATAAGTTGTTTATTATATCTCAATGTGTATTACCCTTCCAGATACTGAATAACTGAATAAACATTTCTCTATTTTTGTAATAAATATTACCTAATTTGGTAAATTGGTAAAATAATAGAAGTATTTATTACAGTATATGCACATATATAAAAAGAACATAATTAAAAAATTTATAACTAATTGGAAAGATTCTAAATCTATAATAACTTTCCATATATGAAAAAAAAAACTTTTTCCTATTATGCATGACTGATTTGAATTTTAATTACCAAGTCTTAATAACTTTAAAAAATTAATTTTATATATAGAGAGAATTAGAATCAAATGAGAACTAGTAGTCTCGTGAGAATGTACGAACTGATCTTATAGTCCATATTCAAACATGAAATAACTAATTAAATATCCTCACGGGATTTATTCACACATCCATTGATTTTCTTTCTCCCAAATGGTTTTCCCAATCCTCAATCTTAAGGGCCCCCACACCTCGCTTGATAGAACATGTGAGAGGATGTAAATCACTTTAACTCAGTGGCTTAGCAGATAGGGCACAGTATAATTCTCATACTGTCGTTGTCAAGTTTCGAACATTGATTTATTCTCCCAAATACTACCTACTGAATTAGTGAGTTAAGCCCGTACAAGCAGCCATTCAATTTGTATGTAGTACAACCGGTGAGTAAAAGAAAGTGACAAAACACATTGTATACTATTGGAAATTATTGGTCCACATTGATATACAAGTAGTTATTTTAATTACAGGCATAATTTTGAGTAAAACCCACTAACATTTTATAGATCGAATCAAAGTAAAATCAAACTCTTTATTTAGAAGAGATAAATTTTTATATTTATAGCTCAAAAATATTTATAGAAAATAGAGGGCAGTTGCAATAATCGAATTAATGGCTTTCTAGTAACAAAATACTATACTACCAAGTTACCAAATATTATTTGACTAAATTTTCACATATAAGTTAGTCAAGTTAATATCAGCACACCATTTTTGTTATATATAGAGTACTATGTACTGTGTTTTTGACCAGTTAGGCAATTAAGTTCATTGAATTGGTTTAAGAATCAGTGTAAGACTGCTTCTTTCAAAGTCTAAATCTACCTATAATAGTATACTAGAAGAGTGGTCAAAACCCATATATAAGTTTGAAAAAAAAAATAAAAAAATTTAGAGGTATTTCACCACTTCTATCTAGATGTATTTCAATCAGCCAACAAATTAACGCTCAAATATTCATGTCTTTTTTGGTCTTAAATCGAAAATGTAAATTAAATCAAAAGTCTAAATACATGTGACACTGGGACATACCCCCGAATACATATTTGAAATATAAAATCAAGAAATTCAAGACTTGGATGTACCTCAACTAGCTAATAAGCCAATAGTCTCGAAGTTTATCAAGTTGATTTTCGGCCAAATTTAATAATTTAATAAAATAATAAATTTTCATGAAAAAAAAAAAAAAAAGAAGACGACCAATTTCATTCTGGAAAGTGCTAGTTGAGAATATTGTGGAATCAAGCAATTGTGTGTACTATGTAGGTGCTTTGCCATTTTTATTCTTTGATTGCTTCATAAGTTGTCTCCCTAACTTGCAGCCTTGACGACCCTTTATCCAGTCTCACCTTGAGGACACAATTTTTTTTTTTTTAAATAAGGGTGTGTTTGGAAACCCGGAAAATGACTTCCAGAAGTCATTTTCCGGGGTTTTGGTGTTTGGTTACATTGGAAAATGACTGGTCAAAGGAAAATGGGGTGGAAGTCAATGGAAAAGGAAGGCAATTTTATGGAAAATGACTTCCCCTTTTTTTTGGGGGAAGTCATTTTCCAACTTTTACACCAACATCATCAACACCATACCACCACCACCACCACCACCAACATACCACCGTCGCCGCCATCTCTACCATACCACCGCCACCACCACCACCATACCACCGTTGTCACACCACCACCATCACACCACCGCCGCCGCCACCACTACCACCATACCACCGCGACCACCGTCGCCACCACTACCGTCGCCGCCACTACCACCATACCACCGCAACCACCGTCGCCACCACTACCGTCGCCGCCACTACCACCATACCACCGCAACCACCGTCGCCATACCATCGCACCCACCGCCGCCGCCACCACCACCATACCACCGCAACCACCGTCGCCGCCACCACTACCGTCATACCACCGCCGCCGCCACCACCACCATACCACCGCCGCCACCACCACACCACCGCCACCGCCACCGCCACCACCGCCACCACCATTACCATACCACCGCAACCACCGCCGCCGCCACCACCACCATACCACCGCAACCACCGTCGCCGCCACCACTACCATCATACCACCGCCGCCGCCACCACCACCATACCACCGCCACCACTACCACACCACCGCCGCCACCGCCACCACCACCATACCACCGCCACCACCACCACACCACCGCCGCCACCGCCACCACCACCACTATACCACCGCAACCACCACCACCACTACCACCACCATACCACCGCAACCACCGTCGCCGCCACCACTACCACCATACCACCGCCGCCGCCGCCACCACCATACCACCGTCGCCGCCACCACCACCACCACCACACCATCGTCATACTACCACCACCATCACACCACCACCAATTATTATTATTATTATTATTATTATTATTATTATTATTATTATTATTATTATTATTATTATTATTATATAACGAATAACACCACCACCACTACACCACCACCACCACCATAATATTTTTGATATATTATTAGTTTTTTTTTTTTGTTGAAAAACTTAGCTATTTTTTATTATATTTAAAATTAATATTATATTATTATACATGTTGTAATATTCTAAATAAAATAATTAAAATGTTTAATTATACAATTCTACTCATTTTCCAGAAAATGAACCAAACACACAAAAACAGTTTTCCAGAATGCAACCAAACACCGGAAAGGAAAATGTTTTCCGGAAAATGACTCATTTTCCAGAAAACATTTTCCAGAAGTCATTTTCCTGGTTTCCAAACGGACCCTAAATTCAGAAAGAGAGAGAGAGAGAGAGAGAGAGAGAGAGAGAGAGAGAGAGAGAATGGTATTGTGAAGGTTGGCTTGATTATGACATATATC